AGCACCAATGAAAGAAAAATGTAAAAGAGTACATTACCTTCCTATTTTGTTACTTTTAACATGCTCAGTATGGCTACACAGCCCAGAGCAGTGATTTAAATATTAAGAGTGAATGCCCTCCCTGTTTACCTGTCAGGTATGCCATGACAGACCACGTTGTTCACAGATGTACACACCGACTTTGGGAAACCTCCATATCTCAGAGGGGATGGGTAGGCATTGTGCTTGATTATATCCTGATGCACGATGAAGTCTATTTCATCTGTTGTCATACCAACCTGGAAGCCAGAGGTCATAATGGTTGTGCTTTTTAATCTTGATATAGAATAAAAAAATTTCTTACAGTGAGTGAGGCTGCTCACCTTGAGACTGCTTCCAGCAAGCAGCAGTACTTGTCTTGCTAGCTGACATGCTCTGGCAAGACCTTCAATCTGCTCTTGACCTTTGATTTCTATGTAGTCTGGCATTCTGGACCAGACCAGTGCTACATAGTCGGGCCGCACAATGTGCTGCAGTCAGGGAGAAGAGAAAAAAGCAGGTAGGAATGGGGGTGGGGGTCAAATTGCTGTCACAATGTTCCATGAGGGAAAAGAAAGTATATATATCTCTGGCTACAGCCTTGTTAGGAAAACACACCGAAACAAAGCGCTTATCAAAACAGGGTAATTCTTTACAAGCACAATGCTGTTTGCTGTGCCTTTTAGCTGCAGGCTAAGTGAGTTTGTACTTTGAAGTAGACTACATGTACAGCCAGAACATAAACATAAACAGCTAATATGGTTCACTGCTGTCAAACCAGGTTTAGTTCAAGCTCCACACAAACATTAGCATGAATATTTGGAAATCAAAGCATCATAAGTTAGTTAAGACTTTTATGGCCTGCAATTCTCATTATTTTCTTTAACAGCCTGTTACCCGCTTCTTTGAAAACAGGTCTTCTACATATTCCTTTTAAGTCACCTTTTCACATCAGAAAATCCAGAACTGGGGATGAATGCAGAAGAATACATGCCTGAATATTTATATTATCTATAGAGATTAAGTCAGTATTAACTGATTTATTATTCATAATCTCGTCTTTTTTTCATATGGTCTTTTCCACCTGACTGGAGAATCTGAAGACTTCTAGATTAAATTAGAATCAAGAAACGTAGAGGTGTCGATAGTGGTATTCCTAACTGAAGTCATATGTAGAATATACTTTTATTTGAATCCCTACCCCATCTGTATTTCTATTGAGGATTTAACAGCAGACATTTATGTCAGCCTACACACTGGCATTGAAGTCAGAATATGGCCTCGTCGAAAGGAACTAACATAAAGGTTGAAATAGCAGGAATGATAACTACAATATTGTCTCTTGTTTTCAGCAACTCTCTGATACCCCCAATTAATTTTGGCAGCAACCCTCCCCCTTCCCCCCAACCTGACGTAAGAGGCTCTACCTTTGGTACTGCATAAGCAGGCCTCACAGTCGCAGGACGAACTACATTTTGAGAACTTTTCCACTTTCTCCAGAAGAAGCGACGACGTTGCTGACACAGCAGGGCTGTTGAGGGACCACAACATACTCTCCGTAGTAAGGACCCCAATCCTACAAGAAAAATAAAAAAAAGAAACACAATAAAGAAGGGAAGGATGTCACATTTTTTTGTGACAAGAATATTCATGTTTAGACTGACTGTTATGTGTGTTTTGTTCTGTTTTATGTATTGTGGAAGCTTCATGAAAGGTTACTGAGGAATATGATCATGTCAAAGTAAACAATAACATTATCAACATGTAGATGAGACGACTAGTCGGCGATCGATCACCAGCGATATATGTGTGGTCACAGCCTGTTATTGGGCTCGTGAGCACTTCAGCAAATATAGAACTATATGGGATGTAGAGGCTGATGACCACACTTTGCGTCACTGATCATGTTGTCACCTCCAGTTGGAGTCATAAAGTCTCCCACTCAAAAAAAGCACAAATTAAAGAAGGTCAATAATCATTAAAATGACTTAACTACTAGTCAGGGGTGCAGGCATAAAATGAAGACCCAAGTTCCAAGGCTAAAACAAAATATCTTCAAGACATAAATAGAGAAACTGTTAAATAAAAACTCAGTCAAAAGACCATTAAAACATTTATATACAGTTTTAAATTACATCTGTGTATTTCCTCATAGTTCTGATGGAGAATTTTCCGTAAACAATGTGATGTAGAAGCTAAGGAAGGCTTTGCACTTCTATATTAATGTCCTTGTTATGACCCCAGCATTACTGTGCTGGTTTGTGTCCATTTGTAACAAAAGCACAAAGAGAGGTTTGGATGTGCAATTATCTTCAACATACACTTCAAAATGTTTCTTTTTTCAATCTAATTCATTCACAAACGAGCTGAGTAGGATCTACTTTCACAGCGCATTTAACATTTGGATTTAGTTGATGATGTTATACAATGTTTAAGTGCTGAGTTAATTTAAGTGTTTTAACTAAAAGCTTACTTAACAAAGCTTACTTCTTCTTGTGCTCGGGAAAGGACTTAAATATTTGAGTCGAAAATGTGAAAATGAATTCTTAACATTCAACTTTGACCAAAACATTTAAGATATAATTCAATGTACACATTTCTGACAGTGTTACTTGAAGTATTTGATAATTGCAGAGCATATTACAACAGTATTAACAGGTGTACCTTTAAAATTTGGCACTATGTGCACCTGCTATGGGTAGAATTCAATTTATGATTATATAGTCAATCATAATAAGTCTCAGTTAAAGTAGTAGTACTGTTTAAATACGTTAACATCTAGTTTATGCAATCAAGTAGCGCACGAATTGGACTTCTTCTGGGTAGCAAAGCTCACACATGCTACTCAAACTAGCTACATTAGCTAGCACGTTTGCATTGGTAATAGTAAACACCGCTCCTCTCTTCTAAACATGACCGCTGCTGTCGTATTTCATATAATTGTTGAATAAGTCAATCATTTTTACGTTATTTAGAAACACAGAAGCAGGTATGTAGGTAAGGCAGGTGGTGTAGCTGAGTATGCAGAGTGTTTTAATGTGTGTAATACCTGATCTTGCTAAAAGTCCTGCAGGACAGTGCGCCGCCATGGATTTTTGTTGCTGGTCACGTGGTACAGGAATCACCGTCACGTGACGTTCCGCTGAACAGGACAGTAACCACAGTAACCACAGTAAAGATAAAGATAAAGATAAACTTTATTGATTCCCCGTGGGGGAAATTTGTGCGTTACAGCAGCTCCAGAAAACAGGGGACGGAAATATACTTATTAAAAATAAAAATAGAAGTTAAAAACAGATCAAACATATTTACATCATTTAAATAAAAATAAAAAATAAAAAATTAAAAATAAAAAATAAAAAATAAAAAATAAAAAATTAAAAATAAAACATAAAAATAAAAACCGGCAACACACATGAATTTTGCTAACAACTTTATTAAGTTATTATCAAATACAGCAAGTTTAATAATAACAAGAACGAGACTGTAAATTCGAGGTCCTACAAATATACAGAACTGATTTAACTGTAAATAAATTGTAAATTATAAATCTAATTCACTATACAATGATTAATCATTTATCACTGGGCAATGTTTTAGTGTTTTTCAATATAACGTAATTAACTATACTCATATGAAATTGTGCCCATGCGCACCTCAGTTGAAGTGCCACTGCATGCAAAGATTACGTAAGAACCAGATATAGTTACACTTTAGACCCGCACGGTGGCGCATTGCTGTCTGAGCAGGTGTGGTATTTTCAAGACTGTATTATCTCCGGGTGCTCCGGTTTTATTCCCAAAACCAACAAGTGTGCTAATAAGATGGACTACAAATCCAAGATCCAGCAGTCATGGTTGTTTATGAAATAAGTAAATAACTAAACAATTGGATCACCTGTGGAGTCATAACGTCATATTTTGTAGTCAAACTATCATTAAACAAATATGCTTTGTTTGTTTTTCTTTTGATTGTTTTTTAAAAAAAAATTAAAAGAGATTCAATCTAAAAATTGTGTTCTCTTTCCTGCAGTGGGACTTACAAAACAAACAAAGGAAAGGGTAATGATTTAAATATAGTAAAGACTCCTTCCAATTACTTAAATAAACAGTCTTACTGAACTGTTAGAAATAGGCTACACATATCCAATGGTTGCAACAGACTTTTCTCCTTGTTATGCTACCTCTATTAATTTTTTGAATATTAGTGAATCACGTAAGAAATCACACAAAAACTACAAGAATAGCAGTCTTCTAACCAAAGAGTGTGGCCAGAGTCCAACCTCAATTGCAATGGGCCCAAAATTTCTCTAATACCCAAACATACCTTTAGATATCTCTGTTCATGAAGCATTATACCACAACAGCAAATAACATTTTTACAAAGTTACATAAGCAATGCCTACACGCCAGTTAGTGCAGAGAATGGTCAGAACCTTATCAGTAACAACAAACAGTAGATATCACATATTGACACCTCACCAGGGTCATTGAGATAAGCTCCCATCTGAATTACAGAAGAAGGGACAACATTTCCCAGCAGGAAAGTAAACACTGTCAAAAGGATGTGGAACTTCAAAATTCCCCTTAATCAACGAATGGGTGACATCAACACGTCAATATCAGATCTGAATTGAAAAGGCATTGGATGAAACATTTCAAGGAATATTGTATTGTTAGCATTCGCCTTATTAACATACAAGCGTTAAGTTTATAGGAAAGGTGCAACTTCCTCGCTAATGGTTATGTTAGCTCATTAGGATTTATTTTAGACAAGTAGCTTCTTTACATTATAAGCTGGGAAAGCCTTCCTCTTCCTGTCTCGTAACGCCATCAAATGGTAGCATGAACAACACAGCAATGAAATACAACTGATGGGTGGGAAATTGTAGATTATTGTTGTTGTTTTTTCTTCTGTCTATAGCTAGATTTTTTTAAATATCTTTACTATGTGCAAACCATGAAGACAGTAGTAAAACACAGCATTAGTACTTGATAGTGTGTTTCCCCCTGCTGTTTTGTTTTTATTTTGCTAAAGCCCCTTTGCATCAATTATGTCTCAAATTTAACTCAACATATGACAGTGATCAAATATTATTATGGACGTATTTCTGGTTTTCATGATTTCATGGCAGATTTTGTAACATTTTCTTCATGTTTCCAATTCATTGATATGTAAAAATTGACCTGAGGGCCACGTTGAGGGTTGATGGGGGCCGCATGTGGCCCCCGGGCCGCCAGTTGCCCACCCCTGCCCTTAAGCTGTCCCTTTCTGTGTAAATGAGGTAACAAAGAAGAAGCTACTGTAGTGGCAATGGTAGCTGTGGCAACGAGAGAGAGAGAGAGAGAGAGAGAGAGAGAGAGAGAGAGAGAGAGAGAGAGAGAGAGAGTAATTGTACAAGATACTTTACTTTATATTTTCACTAAACACACCGAACATGATCTCCACAGTCATTACTTTTGAAATCTATTCATAACAAATGCTTATTAACAAGGAAGCTCAGTATCCAGTGTGTTGTACTCATGAGAGGCTGCGCGGTTTCGTTTTCAGCATCACTACTACACACGTCCGAGGGCGTGCGCTGCGCCTCGCTCGCTCGCTCGCTCACTTTGTAGGCTACGTGACGTCAAACCAGCATGGCGGTCAAGGTGACTTCGGCATCGCTCTCTTGGCGATTTCCAATCCTCTACTTGCACATTTCTTTCTGTTGTCGGTTCTGTTTCATGTTAAGGAAGTAGCAAAGGCTAGATTCTGTGTTGCTGGCGGGTACGGTGGCTCGGAGGCGGTCGCAGCACTGGGCTAGCCTCCGCCCGACTGTGGCTGGCCTTGGTTGATATATCCACAACCTACAAGTTAGCGAGATAAAGCTAAAACAGCTATCAGACAGCCGCCAACGCCACTGCTTTCTCTTACAGTCGGGTGTTTTTCCAAGTTGTGCTCGTCCTCTCGTTGTTTGCAGTTTTTAATCTGTGCATGTCATTGCAGCGGGGTTGTGTCCTCTTCCTCCTGTGAGTCGTTTGTGCTTGCTAGCCGGCTACTCGGTTGTTAGGTTATGAGCCTGCGTCGACCTCTGACTTGTGGTCAGTCGATAGTTTAGTTAGCTGCCTAACCTGCTTATTGTGAGTGTTATGTGAGTGTAGTTGTTTAAGCGTTAATTGCGTGTCGTGTTCGTCACAGTGGGGTCTTTGTTGTATCTCCTTCACAGCAGTGGACGTTTCAAGGAGACACAATGCCACATCACTCGGCTTGTTCTTTGATCTGCATCACCTTCAAAAACCTACTTCTTTACTGGGCAGCATTTTGAAATGTTAAAAAAGCCACATTAGTATCGTCAAACAAGTTAATCCATTGTGTGCGTGTTTGCAGGTGCAATCTACTAAACGTGGGGACCCCAGTGAGCTGAAATCCATCTTCCAGAAGGTAAGGTTTCACACAGATTTCATCCACACAAATCAAATGTTTGTTTGAATACGCAGAGATTTCCTAACATGTTGAGCCCCCTCTTGTTCAAACACAATAAATGCGTCTGTGAGGAAACGAGCTCAACCAGGACTGTTTTCCCTCACTGAATGAGCTTACTCATTTTGTCATTGGGTTTAAATTACAGTATTAGCCACAGTTAAAGGTCCAATACAGACTGCTGTTGTTATGTGAAAAACAAACAGCTTCAACTGAATATATGCTGGTGGTCATATTTATTATGCTGCCAAACACTATTGCTTTCTTTCTGACACAAGAAGTGAAACATAGATATGCTTTGCACTTCTTGTGGGAGCATGATTTTATTGTCTAGTAGTTGCTTCTTAAGCAGAAAAGTTTGTTTCACTCCTTCTAGCGCAGCTCAAGCATTACATTTTTATTAATCATGGTTAACCAGTTGTGCTCATGTTGTGTATTTAAGGACAGAGAGAGAGAGAGTCAGAGAAAAGGCTATTGCTATTGTCAGAGGATACACATCCAGACCAGTCTGTGTCTGACTGAGGTGTCATGAGTGACTGTACAGAACAGTGGGGGTTTTTGGTTAACCTTTGCATTTCTCCGTTGGCTGCTGCATGCTGAGTTTGTGATCCACTGTGTGATTGTCATGTTGGCCAGCAGTTGCCTGGACTCTTAAATACGTAAGTCAGATATCTAACAAGCTTTGCCCAGAGACATTAGTGAAACTGTGCATGCTCATGCGTGCAAAAGTGTGGGCTAGTAGATTTCTGACATGTCATGCTACAACTGCAAGATCAGTGACCTTGTTTTCTTAGGAGCGGCATGAATCAGGTTTGTATCGAAATAAAATAAAAGCCGCTAACTTAAATACATTTAAGTTGAACACCTTTATTCAAGACTTGCACCTTTAACATAGTTGGCTTACAATGAAAGAGGAAGCTAGTAGCATGCAATAAGGTGCAAAATATAATCTTCCGTGAAGTGGTCTTGCAGTACGCCCTCAGCTTCTGACACTATATAACCTACAGCAGTTACAGTCCGAATCTTAAAAAAGGCAACATGAGAAAAAGTGAAATTGCTCATCTACTATAATGTCAGATGTTTAAAGATAAAGAATATAAACTTGTTAAAATGCAGCCTTTTTAAATCCTTAGCAACAAGTAGGTTGCATTTAAGATTTATTTTAAATTCAGTTGCAGTCTTTTAAATTAAGCAAAAGCTTCATAATAAAACTGATCATCCGTCCAGAATGATCTGTAAAGACCCTTTTTCAACCCATAAGGAAGCAACAGTAATACTGCTGCACTGTGTCTCAATGCATGACTAAACACGGACTAAACTGGCCTTTAGCAAGGACACCGTGAGGGTTAAAAAAGCTGATTGTAAGCCATGCTCCTGAGAAGGATTAAGTCTTAGTTATGTAAATAACTCTTTACAACTTGCAGAGGGAAACGGATACGAACAAGCGATGGCGTTGTAGTTTATTTTTTGTTGTTTGACATTGTTGTCATTTAGGAAAAGTACAAATGGTGCTGAAGGGTGAGTGTCAAGGTTGACGTGAATGATTTCTTTCTCTCCTTAGTATGCCAGTGTTGTGGACAAGGATGGAGAAAAGTTTATGACCCCAGGGGACTTTGTCCAGAAGTATCTTGGACTAAACACACAGATCCACCACAATCCCAAAACTGTTCAGCTCATTGCTGCTGTGGCTGACACCACAAAGGACGGGTACGTACTACTGACACATAAACAGTGTGCGCCAAAACACACACACACACACACACACACACACACACACACACACACACACACACACACACACACACACACACACACCCACACAGTTGCACACAGCTTATTGTCACTAATTGAGAGTTTATTGAGGTATATCAGATCAGCGCTGTACATTATAGCAACTTACAGATAAGATAAATGTCTCGATGACTCTCATTCATCAGACTGTTTGTGTATACAGTGATGTGTGGAAAAGAAAATGCACACACTCTGCTGATTACGTGAACTGTGTTTAAATCTGAGCTGAGGAGATGTTTTTGGCAAATTAGCTTTTTCACACAAGACTTTTATTTTGTCAGTTGTATCCAACAATCTTTTCATTGAAAGCAAAAAATGCTGAATATGAAGAATGGAGAAAAGTTAGATTTTTGGTGCTCTGGTCTGTGTATTGAAGCAGTACTATGTGATCTAGTATTGGCCTCTCTCCAAAAAAAGTGTTTAACCATGTATATATTTGCTCTCTCTGACCTCTTATGCAACTTGGACAGGCTGATCTCATACCAGGAGTTTCTTGCTTTTGAATCGGTGTTGTGTGCCCCTGATGCGCTCTTCATTGTAGCCTTCCAGCTGTTTGACAAGACTGGGACTGGAACCATTTCCTTTGGTACGTGCCAGTGTGTTTTTGCTTGAACTTTGAATTCACCTCACATAGACAAAATGATGTCAACACTGAGCACAGTACACTATAAAAGTGTTTCAGCAACCAGCTTACTAGGTAACACTGTAGATTGTTTACAGAAACAATCCATGTGCACGCTGCGTCATCGGAGCAAGTTAAACACGTTAATTTGGTTCACGTGGAGAGAGAATTTCCCAACATTGTCAACCAGATTATTCTCGGTTTAAGTCATTAACATGGACTTACATAATGTCTCTCATGCACTGTTTCTTCTGTTCTTTCTACCTTTTGCTTTCTGTCTTATGTCACACACACTCCAAGCTTTTCCCACCATGTCATTTAAGTCAATCATCTCAACTTTTGGTTATGAAAGTAGTCCTCAATATGATTTATTCCTCTTTTGGATGTATGTTGACGTTTATTTGTACTGCAGAAAATGTGCGGGACATCTTCAGCCAGACCACAGTGCACCACCACATCCCCTTCAACTGGGACTGTGAGTTCATCCGTCTGCACTTTGGGCACGACAGCAAGAAATGCCTCAGCTACCTGGAGTTTACCCAGTTCCTGCAGGTCAGCTGATTACACACCACACAAACTGATAGTTTGTTGCTTTTTCCTTTCTCTTGAATCTATTTAGACTCAAGCTTGTTTTTGTTGTTTTTGGCGTTTTTTTAGGAGCTGCAGTTGGAGCATGCACGCCAAGCGTTTGCCCAGAAGGACAAAGGGAAGAATGGCGTCATCTCTGCAATGGACTTCAGTGACATCATGGCCACCATCAGACACCACATGCTCACACCCTTTGTCGAGGAGAACCTTGTGTCTGTGAGTGTTAGTGTGTGCACACAAGAAGAGTTTAGTGACAGTACATCGCAAGTTACTCACTCTGGCCACAGAAAGATTGAGTTCAGATTGACTGAAGGAGAAAAGTTATTTTCAGATAATCACTTCTCTAAGTGTTCTAGATTTTGTCTTCATAGCTCGCAGCTCGTCCATAAAAGCTGAAAACAGGCAATTTTTTAAAGTAGCAAAAATTCTGAGGCTAATTGCCTCATTAAAAGGGATGCTTAGGCCTATCACTTGCTAGTGGCAACATAATTCAATTTTACATGAGGCGTTAACAATATATAAACACTTACCTAAAAACTTGGGCTCAGTCTTCACTATCCTTACCATCTTTTAAGCTACTTTCAGGATCCTCTATGTTCTCTTGGAGATTGTTTCCAAACATTCCCTCTCTTATGTGTGAAACTTCTTGACATGGCTGGGTTTGTTTGTTAGCAGAGAGCTTAATTCAACTGAGATTTTCCCCCTCAGATATCCTTCTAAGATTTTGCCTGGAATGTGATAATACACATTTCCATTGTAAAGGAGTCTTTAAAAGGTCAATTGAGGCACAACAAAGTGTTTGAAAGACAATACCATACAATAGTTACAATAGTGACTTAATATAAAAGCTCCAGTTTAAATGTATATCAGACAATACGCACTGATATTTGTAACAGTATGGTCAGGATTTCTCATGGAGAGTTTGATCAATGTAAAAAAATAATCTTTTCCAAGTCAAATTAGCACCTGATATACCCTACTTTTCTTCTATCAGGCTGCCGGTGGCAGCACCTCCCACATGGTCAGCTTCTCGTACTTCAATGCCTTCAACTCCCTCCTGAACAACATGGAGCTGATACGCAAGATCTACAGCACACTGGCTGGCACGCGGAAGGACACACTCGTGACAAAAGGTATCGACTGATGGCTACAATGCTGTGATGTTCTATCTTTGCTTTTCAGCTGAAAAAGTGTGTGTGAGTTTGCCAGGAATGTCCACGTTATTATAAAAGGTAACTCTTTTATCGCTGTCTTTTTCCACAGAGGAGTTTGTTCATGGTGCCAACAAGTTTGGACAGATCACTCCCATGGAAATTGACATCCTGTACCAGTTATCAGGCCTGCACTCCCCCTCTGGGTAACCCTCACTATGCTCTTCTTATAAAGTCTTTGGTTGAATCTGTCAGACCCAAACTCTTACAACTAGTAGACGTTCTCTATGAGACCCTGATGTTAATAACAGAACTACATATGTGTGCATCAGGCGCCTGAATCTTATCGATATTGAGAGGATAGCTCCTTTGGAGGAAGGATGTCTGCCACACCACCTGGTTGAAAGTCAAAAACAGGTATGATGTTTGTGTTCTGCTCTTAATATAATGGACAGGTACTGTACATTCAAACAGTTTTCATGTGATAAATTCACAACGATATCATGTGGTTTTTTTTTCACCATCAGGCCCATGGGGACAGTTCCAGGCCTGTGTGGCTACAGGTTGCAGAGTCAGCCTACAGGTTCACCCTGGGCTCCATTGCTGGAGGTGAGTTATCTTGAGACCAGAGACAGGTGAACACACAGCTGCAGAATATCTAGAATCCATGTTGTTTTTAAAGTATTTGGTCTGAGCCCGTGTGTTTTCACATAGCTACGGGAGCCACTGCAGTGTACCCCATCGACTTGGTGAAGACTCGTATGCAGAACCAGAGGTCCACAGGATCCTTCGTAGGCGAGCTGATGTACAAGAACAGCTTCGACTGTGCTAAGAAGGTCCTTCGTTACGAGGGCGCCTTCGGCTTCTACAGAGGTAGGCAGGAAGAGCTCTCAATCAGTGCCTGAATGATTCCCTTTCTGCAGCCAATACACCAGTGATGAATCAGCAAATCAATCTTTCTTCTTACAGAGCCAGTTTTTAACATTGTTATCTCAAGACACTTTACACAAACAGAAGGACTAGACTTAACTCGTATTTATTATATTATTCACTGAGACTCAATATTATATATGAATATATTATCAATATATAACAGCCATCTGCTGCAACTGTGCTGTGCTTGGAGGGAGGAGAGAGGAGAGAGGAGAGAGGGATAGAGGGAGATGCAGGAAGAAGAGATGGGTAGAGACTATGAGAGCATTAAGCACACCGACGATCCAGAGGAACCCAGAGACAAGGCAGCTCTGGAACTTCCAGGAAAATATATAGTTATTAACTTAAATGGTATCTGAATATTTTAAGATAGCTACATTACATTCAGTAAGTATACAGATGGGGGAGGGAGAGAGATGGGAGAGAGAAAGAGGGGGAGAGAGGCAGGCTCAGTGTGCCAGGCAGACGTTTAAAGTAGATAAAATTATTTCCTTATTAAAACCAAATTCTGGAAAAACAGTTTGTGACCATGAAGTGAATCCCTGTGATAGATGCTGGGGGGTTTGGTTT